TTCTTCAATCCACCTAGCAGTATCTACACCAGGGCTTAGGTTGGCTTAACTACGGCTCTCAGCGGTGTGAATTTTGTCCACATCCCTGAGAGATTTAGCTAGGTTGACCTAACTTTGGGGTGTAGACTAGGCCCGACGGAAGTTTTTCTGCCACAGTGTAGTAACACCACCTCCCTGAATGACAGTAGCTGACAAGTCGTCTTCTGCCAACAGAGCTGCGTCTACTTTTGGGGTTTAGCTCTGTTGGTCGGGGTATGGTTCTTTCGTAGGTATGCTAATATAACTTTTAAGCATAGACCAGACTTGAGCTACAAAAGCCAGATTTTCAAAATGCTCAGATTCACTTTATGCCCCTAAACAAGGATCAGATTTTCAGAAGAGCTAAGCACTGTGTGCACTGAGTTCTTTTGTAAAACTGGCTCCTTACTCTGGCGCTGAGGTCATCTGAAAATCTAACTTGTCCACACACAAAAGTTCTACTGCTTTATGCCGGTATTGTTAAAGAGGTACAGCCTACCTAGGGTGGATGCAGTTATACAGGTACAGCTATTCCTAAGTGGGATGGGGAATACGTCATACCTGTATAAGACAGCTTTATACCTGTATAAGAACATAAGAACGGCCATACTGGGTCAGACCAAAGGTCCATCTAGCCCAGTATCCTGTCTTCCAACAGTGGCCAATGCCAGGTGCCCCAAAGGGAATGAACAGAACAGGTAAATCAAGTGATCCATCCCCTGGTGCCCATTCCCTGCTTCTGGCAAATAGAGGCTAGGCACACCATCCCTGCCCATCCTGGCTAATAGCCATTGGTGTACCTATCCTCCATGAACTTATCTAGATCTTTTTTGAACCCTGTTATAGTCTTGCCTGTCACAACATCCTCTGGCAAGGAGTTCCACAGGTTGACTGTGCGTTGTGTGGAAAAAAAATACTTCCTTTTGTTTGTTTTAAACCTGCTGCCTATTAATTTCATTTGATGACCCCTAGTTCTTGTGTTTATGAGAAGGAGTAAATAACACTTCCTTATTTACTTTCTCCACAGCAGTCTTGATTTTACAGACCTCGATCATATCCACCCTTAGCCATCTCTTTTCCAAGCTGAAAAGTCCCAGTCTTATTAATCTCTGTCACTGGCAGGGAGAGGAATAGAGCATGCATCTCCGTTGCCTGGGATCCTGATTGTATGTGAGTGCAAAGTCTTATTAATCTCTTCCCCTATGGCAGCTGTTCCATACCCCTATAACTGCATTCTCACTTGGGATTCGATCGGTGTAATTATATTGCTCAGATACAATAGTAATGGGAACCAGATAAGTACCTTAAATAGACAGACATAATTGTATTGGTACAAAAACTGTGTAGACCAGGCTTATGTGTTTGCATGATAAGCACCATTTTCCAGTTGCTCAGACCTTTAAGCTGAAATCATCCAAGTCCAATTAATTTTTTTAGGAACAGTTTAGCAAAGCCAGTTCAGGCATTTGTGAAGAGGATGAGAAGGGACGATAAGGTACTTTTCCCACTAGGAAAAAAGAAAGTACTCCTTAGTTATTTATTTTTGGAAGCGTTCGTACTTAGCACTTTGGGGCAGAAATTTGCACTGCCATTGTTTTCTGAGACACACAACATGCGAAGATCCAGGATTTATGGGCTTGATACAGAAATGACTGGGAAGGTTTCAGTGTTGCCATGACGTTACCTGCAGCTCTCGCTGTCTCAGGTTGGAGTCGAACGCTGAGCGCTAGAGATCTGCAGCCTGACTCAACCTGATGGGAAAAGTGTCAGGTTCAGGATGTCTCTAAAAACAACCCTACCCTCTTGGGGTCAGGTCAGGTCATCTCTGGTCACCTCCTTCTGCTGGTGGGGTTGACACGGCAGTGGCCGTGTGCCCCACTCCTGCCGGCCGACACCACCTTGCTGAGCACTGCAGAGGGAGCGTGCGGACTACCCTCCCCAGGCTGGCTGCCACCGCAGACAGATGGTGGGCGCTGGGCACGAGGAACGGGAAGCTCCCACTAGCTCCAGGGATGAGGGAGCAGCAGTGCTGACAGGTTTTTGGGGGGAGGGGGGGGGGAAGTATCAGGTTTGAGTCAGTTCGGTTTTAAAAAGGACTCAACGTTCTTGGTTCAGGTCAGGCTTTTAAAATTAGGCTCAAGCAGACTCAGAACCAGAGGCGGTTGGAAAAGGTTTGGGCAGGAGATTTCTAATACTTCTGGTTTTTCCTCCAAACTTTCCGACAATATTTTTGGTTCAAAAGCTGTATTTTGGGGGAAGGGAATTCAGTTTTCAAAATCCAAATATTTTACCAAAAAATGGCCAATTCCTGGTTTTTTGTTTTCCCTCCTTTCTCTCCTCTCTCACAATGAAGAGCCAGAAATGTTTGACCAAAATTCATTTTTGGCAGTGAAAATTTACATTTCAGTCCTAAAAAGTTTTTTTTTTAAGTTCTGATGATAATAAATAAATAAATAAAAAAGTCAGCCGGCTCAACGTAGCACCTGTGAATGATTCCTTCTGAAAGTCACACTCATTTTCAAGACGGATCGGCACCAACGCTAAGGGCCAGATTTTCAGAGGAACACAGCACGCTGGTTACCACATACCCTTGCCATAAGACTACTTAGCACATTACATCAGTAGATTTCAAAGCACTCTACAAAAGAGAGATTCCCCATTGATAGGTGGGGAAACTGAGGCACGGAGCAACGAAGTGAGTTGCCCAAGGTCACTCAGCAGGCCAACGGCAGAGCTGAGTCTGCAACCCTGCTGTTCCTCAGGCCACCTTTATGCACGATAGGAGCAATTAAAATAAAGTACCACCAGCCCATATATTTTAAGCCCTTTTCAGGTCACTTACAAGCAGCCAGGGCTTTGCACTCACATACAACCGGCATCCAAGACACTGGAGATACAGGCTCTATTCCCATCCCTGCCACTGACCTCCTGCTTGACCTTGGGCAAGTCACCCTCCCCCCCTGTGCCTCGATTTCCCCTCCACCCTTGGTCTGTCTAGGGCTCTTTGGGGCAGGGGCTGCCCATCCAGCCCTGCTCTCAGTTGGGCCCGCTAGGCGTTACCGCAACGCATTTAACAATCACTCTTGAGAGTTATAAGACCAAAGAATTTCTTCCGCCTGCAGTAACTGATTGCAAGGTCTGTAAGGCAGCAAGGAGAACAACGCTACGGTGACTCATCCCCAACAAGGTGCGGCTGGGCCTGGCTGGTCGCAGGTGACATCAGCCACCCACTGATCTCAAACCCAGGGGGCCTGGATTCCCATGCGCTCAGCAGGTAGGCTGGGGAGCCGGGGTATCTCCATCCACCGCAGCCGCAGGCACCCCACCGCTGCCCGGATCGCCCCCTCTCTCCATCCCCAGCAACGCGCCAGGCTCCGGGTCCCCTTTCTTGGCTCCAGTCCCCCCCCCTTCACTCCAATCCCAGCCACGCCTCGCCTCTGTTGTCGGTTTCTGCCCCTCCCCGGGGGCTGCCTTTCCCTGCACCTGCCCAACTCACCGCTCCAGCTGGGAAAAGCAATTGGTTCAGGGTGTCTCCACTGGGGATGGGGATCCGGGAGCTCCCAGCAGCTAGGCGCAGACAGCAGGATTAAATGGGTGTCTGGGAACAGGAAGGTCCCTCCTTTATCCAATCCCCCCGGCTGTGCTGCCTGCGATCGCTGCGACTGGCCGCTCTACCTGCATTCTGTGGTTAGATCCCTTAAGTCACTGGTTGGGGGAATGGACGATTTACGGTGGGATAAATCGGATATGGGGCGCTCCTAAGGTGGTGCATGAATCTCAAGAGCAGCTTGCATCATCGCTGGATCATGAAGCAACCCCCGGCGTTAAAACTCCTGCCTGTTTCCACTGAAACTCCCTATTCCGGTTGCTCAGAATGTGCACACACCTTTGCCAGGGCAGGGGTTGGCCCAAGGGGGAATTTCTTAGGGAAGATTTAGCGAAGGTGGGGCAGGGGGGTTGTTAGCGGCGAGGGAGTGGAGGTAAAACACTTTTCCCACCAGAAAAAAAACAACACCACTCAAAACACTGGGGATTTTTTAAAAGATGGCTCTAAATCTGACCGAATAATTTCCATGTGCAAATAAAATAATGCTTTAAACACTTTATCCTAGAAATATATTATGGTGCAGGTGGTGGCAATAGGATAATTAAGGCCCTCAACCTGCAAAGAACTTCTTTTTATTGATTTGTTCTTTTTTATTATTTGTATTTCCATAGTGTGTAGGAGCCCCAGTCATGGGCCAGGATCCCCCTGCCCTAGGTATTAGGTGTATTATGGCAGCACCTAGGAGTCCTGGTCAGGAACCAAGGCCACATTATGCTGGGCACTGAACATTATTTATTAGGTGTATTACGGTAGTGCGTAGAAGGCCCAGTCGTGGGCCACGACCCCACTGTGCAAGGCGCTGTACAAACACAGAACAAAAAGATGGTCTCTGCCCATCTAAGTATTAAGACAAGAGACACCAGATGAGGGAATGCAAGGAGACAACGCTGCTCAGCAAACCAGCAGCCTAACTGTGGTCAAGTTTAATACCGCGACTCATTGTCACAAAGTTAAGCACACGCATAAGGGCTTGTGAGATCAGTTTCTAACTCAGGTATTGGTATTGGCCCCCATCAGCGTAGTATCGGGGCATGGCACAATCTGCAATGATCTTCCCACCCCCTCTGGAATGCATGGCTATTGTTGCTGTTTTACAGATGGGGAAATGGAGGCACAGAGAGGCTAAGGGACTTGCTCAAGATCACACAGGGCGTCTATGGCAGAGTGGGGAATTGATCGCAGGTCTTCCTGGGCCTAAGCTACTACTCTAACCACCACACCATCCTTCCTTTCAAGCTTGAAGTAGAGGGTTCTGCTTCACAAGAGCGTTAAACACAGTGGTTAAGGTATGTGTGTGGGTAGGGGAGGGTTTGCCAGGGGTCACAGACCCCAAATCAGGTCACTAAGGGGCACGCTTTAAGCACTGTCTGACCGGTCAGCTTCTCGTAGGTCCTGCTAGAACTTCCCACCCTCTTTTCAGATCACTTTAAGCACAGGATAAGCCTCTGTTTGTGAAATCAGCACTGCCAAATCCACGTGTTCAAAAATCATGGTTCAGGCCTGAAAAATCATGAGATTACTTTTTGTGTGTGTGTGCAGGTTCTTTTATTTGCCTCCTGGATTCAGAGCCTTTAGGCATCTTGTTTTCCAGCATTTCTCTGCAATCTTCAGGACTAGAAATGTACCTTAAAAAAAAAAAAGACGGAGAGTCTCTCATAATAACAGGACTCCAGGAGCTGGGGCTTTAAGAAAACCACCAAATATCACGATGCCTGGGACAAAATTGCAGGAGCTGATAATGCCATACAAATCCCATCAAAATGCCAATAAAGGAAAGATTGTGGGTAAAAAAAAAAAGTAACAATATTTGGGTTTTCACAGTCGGGTTTCAGGAAAAACTATGTTGCTTGAAGGAGAATAATAAAAGTTCCAAAATCGCTGCTTATACTCAGACCGTTTTTCCTGATATTTAGCCTAAATCTCCCTTGCTGCACATGAAGGGCTTTCCCTTTAGCTTCCTGTGTCTATGCTTTTAAAGTTTCGGACTGGCAAACAGAAACAGGTGCCTGGGTTGGGAGGCTGGCATAGACCCTGACCTGCTTCTCCCAGATTTCATAGCTTAAAAGGTAGCAGGGGCCATCAGATCATCCAATCAGGCCATTGTATGTCCCCCAGTTCCCCCACCACCCCACCTGCTCTAGGGGTGAGGTGCAGAAGGATGGGACAGGTGCACTGGCCACTGCATGGGGTGGTCAGTTTCGCCCTAGAGGGGTTTTCACCCTACTAAAGGATTAAACCCATAGAGGTCTCAGATCCTCCAGCTCTCCCGGTGGGGATGAGGAAATGTAGTGCAGGGCAGGAGGGGATTTAATGCAGCAAGGACCTTCCTGTTGCTTGAATCCTGGTGGTGCCTGAGCTCTGCCGCTGGCAGCCCCTGCTGCCTGGATCCCCCTGGATCTGCCGCTGGACGCCCCTCTGCCCGGAGAGCCCAAGACACTGAAGCATCCCCCAGCAGGAACGGTGAGTGGGGCGGAGAGGATCCGATCCAGGGGGAAGGCAGCCCTAGAGGAGGGGAAAAGCAAAGGAAGAAGGGAGGACTGCTGCCTGGAGGAAGCAGCCAGAGAGAAACAGGCGCCTGGGTGGCAGCTGGGGGAAGGATATAGGAGGAGGGCCAGCTGTCTGAAGAAGAGATAACACGTGGGGGCGGGCTGTGCAGTTTTCAGCCCTGTCGTTCCTTCCATCCAGTCTTTCCGTGCCTCAGTTTCCTCACCAGCCACGCAGGGATGGTAACGTCGCCCTCACACTGGGTGGTGGTGTGGGATCAGTGGGGCAGGATTGGTAAACACTTTGAGATGCTCTGGTGGAAGGTGCTGCAGAAACTGCAGGATCCTGGTGAAAAAGGATGTAGGCAGAAATAATTGTGTATTACAATACTGCCCCGAGCTCAGGGTCCCAGGAGACACTCCTGGTCCCAAAGAGAGCACCTCCTAAATAGACAAGACAGGTAAAGGAGGGGAGGGGAAACTGAGGCACGAGCGGGGACGTGACTTACCTAAGGTCCCGTACCGCAGTTCGGTAGCAGGGCTGGGAGTGGAACACAGGACTCCTGGGACCCAGCCACTAGGCCACGCTGCCTCCCAGAAGTGCAAAAAGCAGCCATGGCAAATATGTTGTTATAGCAACTCCTCTCCTTGCTTATTAGCAGGATTTGAACATATGATCATGTGCATCATAGGACTGAACTGCAGTCACTCAAGCTGAAGGTGTAACTCTGCTCATTGTTATTAATAGCAGGTAGTTATCCTCTATGGACCGTTCACAGAGCCAAACACATCGTACATTGCCATTAGGGCTACATGCACCCTGGAGCAACTGCTCATGGACTGACTGCTCCTTATGGAGCAGCAGCTGTGCTCAACCCCAGAAGGGACGCAATCAGAACAGAGAGACTCATGAGCATCCTTTATGGCTAGATGGTGGCGGTGGTAAGGTGGGTTGCAGTATAACAAAGGCTGAGAGTCAATGGATAGATCTGGATGACAAAGGGGGAAGGTGGCTGGCTGGCCCAGTTTCTGTAGAATGGATTATTTAAACACTGGTGAGGTTTTCATTTCACTGTTTTTATTATACAATTAATTATATTATCTACTTCTGGTAGAGTTGGGTGAATTTTTCAGCCAATTTCTGGTGAAAAATGCAGAATTGGCGGCACCAAAACTTTTCACAATTTTGTGTCGATTTTGCCAAATTGTTTCTGTCAAAAAAAAAAAAACAACACCTAAAAAAAATTCAGAAAAAATCAAAACATTTCCTTTCGACCTTTTCAAAACAAAAGGTTTCAATTTATCAACGTTTTCTTGAATTTTATTCAGGCAATCAAAAACATTAAAAAATGCTTGAAAAAAAACCCCCACGTTGTTCAACCTGCAGTGATTGTATTTTCAAGTTTGTCGAACATTTTGAAAAAAGCGTTCAACCAAAACGGAATTTATGTATTGTTTAGAATGGCCAGAGAACCAAAAAATCCATTTTGTCAGCCAGCTCCGCCTTCAATAGACGTCTTTATTATTTTCAGTCTCAATAAATAAGCCGCTGCTCTGCAGCTATTTAACAAGTCACGGCACCTCCTATTTTCTCCCACCCTCCTTTGCAGGTTGTGTGATCCTAATCCTGACACCATCTCTCGCATGGAATGCAGGAAAGAACCCCGTGTCTCAATTCTCCCGGACCCCAGCGAATGGCTGAATCAAAGAGGTGCTTGCAAAGGTAATGAATAATCAGAACTAGAGGGGGGCGGAAAGTGTTTGGATTATTTCTGGAGGATCCCAAGTGGCGATTAGGCTTGATCTACAATCATTCGCTTTTCTGGAGCTTTCGTGTGTGCGAGGGGGCCAGCACTGGGTCTACGGACTGTTTAATTCCCCCTTCAG